AATTTTTTACTGCAGAGAAAAAGAAAAATCTTAAAAAAAGTCACGCTATAATAACTTTGATTCTTCTTCCGTTCATCTTTCTTAAATATCGATTATCAAATTCTTTTGTTTTCTTTATTCTTTGGAAGTATAATAATCGATGTCATTACAACTTAGCAGTTTTTCTTTTCATTCTCGTCCTTTATTAATCTACAACACAAAACTTCTTTTGTCTTGATTTATAATCGTCTAGTCAGTTCTTATGTTAATTACTTAATGATTTATTTGATTAACAACATCAAAGAAATGACACAATGAATGTTATTATCATAAAGAAAAATATACTTTTATTATTATTATTATACCTAAGAGATATAGATCATATAAATTTCGAAAACAATAATGTACGTGTTCACAATCAATGAAATGTTATTATGTTTTTATTAATTTTTTTTTCTATACCTACAGAGAATTCATATGCTATATATGATAGTATGTAATTCATTTTTTGTACTGAAATATATTATCTACACGATTATTGTTCTATCATTTTGGGAGAGCTTGTTTAAGATGTTTTTTTTTTTTGTTGCTTTTATATTATGGCTTATTTGTTATTCTTTTCGATCGAATCAGTCGCGGTAATGAGCTTTTCTCTCTTTTCATTACATTGATAAAACATGTTATGAGTAATGCTTCGTAATGACAAGTAAAAATAACCTTCATTAACTATAATTGTATCACATTCGTATTCATTAGGTTTTTTTTATGATAAATAGAAAGTAATAGAAAAACATTGAATAATATCAATTACTTGTATCGAGTTTTTCTTTTTTTTTTGAAGAATAGCAAAACGTGATACTATATGTATTTTGTCATCGAAATTTAAGGTTAATATATGACTCTCTTTGACTATCTTGTCATAAATTATATTGAAGAAAAGTAATGAAGATCGATAAACTCGATATGAGAATAAAATATTAGACAAGTTTTTTATTCTTTATTTTCTTTTTCTTCTTTTCCTTTTTCTTGTTTTTTTCTTCTTCTCCTTCTTCTTCTTGTTCTTCTATCTTCTTTTCCACACATCTCTATCAATAGTAGATATTAGGCGGACGCGCATCGGTAAGACGAGTCTCACATACTAATAATTTTAATAATATGCAACATCGCTTTGTTCAACAGAAAAAAACCATCCGAAAAAAAAGGCTTTCACATATGCTAACAATGAGGTATATGAAGAAAAAGATTTCTGATGCGAGCTTTACTTTTTCTTTGAGTAAACATTGCTAGAAAGACCGTTTTGTTGTAGATAATATGTAACAAAAATAAGTAGAGTGGTTTTACATACAAATATATATATATATGATGTGCTTTTTCTGTTAAGTTAACCTCAGCAGAGATAGAACAGTCCAAACAATTTATAAAATTACGTTACATAAATACATTTACTTTATTTTGGTTTAAAAGTAGCTATAAGAGTTTTTAGAACATAAATCAAATCAAGTGATCTAGTTAATTTCAGGGGATTCTCCACGGGCTCTATGCTCTTGTGCTAACAGTCTATAAATAAAATGTCATTTGTTTCCTCATTGCTTATCATTATATTTCCATATTTATATTTTCTTCTAGAAAATAAGTTTATGTTAAAACTACATTTTCTAACAATATTGAATAGATAATAATGGAATTAAAGAACTCATCATTTATTTCTACATGCAATGCATCTCCGCCTGGAACAATTTATTTGGATTTATCACCACCTTTACCGCCACCATATCTACAGGCAACAGCACTTATTGTCTATACTTTATTGAGTATTCTTACTCTTGGTGGAAATGCTCTTGTATGTCTTATTGTATTTCAATTTATGGGTGTTATTACGGTGACAAATTTATTTATTGCTAATTTAGCTCTAACAGACCTTTTCATCGGTCTTTTTTGTATTCCAATCGTACTTATATCAGATTATCTTTTATCTGATTGGCCATTTGGAACATTTATGTGTAAATTTACATCTTTTGCACAATCTGTTTTTGTTGTTTGTACAGTTTATACATTAATAGCAATGTCAGTCGATCGTTACATAGCCATAATTCATCCATTGAATGAAAAATTAACAAGAAAACAATGTCGTTTATTAATTGGTTTACTTTGGACATTTTCAATATTATTCAGTTCACCAATATTTTTTGATATGAATATAATTCATGCTTGTTTTCATCTTGATTCAGATAATATAACAGAATATACACAAACAATGTGTGAAGCAGAAGGTCTTCCACCATCATTACATACAGCCTATAATTTTGCAACGATCACTATCATTTATTTAATTCCATTATGTCTATTAACAATAATTTATATACGTCTGGGTTGGCGACTACATCAAAGTCGTGCGCCAGGCGAAGCACATTCAGAACGTGATGCCAAAATTAAAAAATCTAAACAAAAAGTTATTAAAATGTGTTTTGTTGTTGTAATTATGTTTGGTGTATGCTGGTTTCCAATGCAATTATATACAAATATATTACGTCCATATCTTGAAGAATTTGTTCATCAAGATTATGTCCCACATGTTTACTTTGCTTTTCATCTTATGGCTATGAGTAATTCATGTATTAATCCTGCTATATATGGTGTCATGTCGTCGAAATTTCGTGATGGCTATTTACATTATTGGCAAAATTTAATAACATGTTGCGGTTTATTCAATACTCGCATTAGACAAAAGAAAAGTCACATGAAAAGTATGTCAATGGCAACAACATTCCAATTAAGTCGTAGAACATATGAATTAAGTATGAAAGTTCAGGACATTGAATGTGATCGAGCAAGTAATGGATCAGTACCTTGTTCGATTCCATTTCTATCATCACAAAGAGTATCATCAGATGACTAAATATTCATTTATTCATGTAAAAAGTTGTAGGATACAATAAAATATTTTTTTTTGCCTTTTCATTAACTGTTATTGTTGTAACTATTTTTCTTGTATAAAATGATTTTATGTTTGTGACCAGCATAAATTAACAAATACGAGTTCAAAGTCTTGCGAACTTTTTTTTATAGAAAAATCTTTAAAAACAAAATAATTTTCAGTATTTGTTAAAAGATATTGTAGTACGATACAAATTTATTTTTAAACAAAAAGCAATTATATATCTTTATTGTAATTTAAAAAAAAAAATTTCAGAGAAAATCAATGATATTCATTAATTGATTTCTTATAGATGCTAATAAGGGATGAGAGAATATAATCTTATTCATTAGACTTATATAGGAAGTTTATTTTTCCTAAAGATTGAAAGGTCTAATCATCTATCCGAGGAAGTTTTATTCGATAGTTCATTTTGACATGCAAAATACTATCTAACCAATGAAAATAGTGGTTAGGGACTTATTTCGTACGTCATTAATATAATAGACTCATCTATATTACATCAAAGTAATAGAATATTGATTGATTAAAAAATTAATTCTTATGAATATATTTGACACTAGACGTGTCAGAATTAAGATGTCGAAATTTTATTTAACTAGCAACTAGTTAATGAAGATTTTATTAGTAATTTAATTTTAATAAGAAAAAAAGCTTATGAGTTTATAATGAATCATTTAATAAATATAATTTAAATTAATTTAAAACTCTATTTAATAAATCAAAATTATTTTTTTCTGTTTTTGTTACAATATTGATCAGATTTACTAAGTATAATATTACAAACAAAAGAGATCAATAATCTAATTTTAGTAATAACCACATATATATATTGAAATTTCTGTCTAAGCTTTTCCTTCGTGTTCTGTTTACATTCCAACTAAGTAAGTATTAATGATGATGGACCTCGAGAAGCTAGACATGAGAGTATCCGACGCCAGAAGCGATTGTTGTTAGTAATATTAGGAATAATGGCAACTATAATAGAAACATAATCGCTTACATTAGCAATTACTGAAGCTTACTAAACCGTAAGAAGATTTTGTCTAATGTATTTTGGGAAAAAACAAGATAATCTAAGACATATTTATCATGGATTATGTATGTCACATAAATCTTATTTATAAACATTCGAAGAAATCTCAGCAAAAGTTGATACTATAATTCAGATGCGTATAATTTTATTCTTATGTTAGATATTGAAAATAATTCTGAACAAACTTTGATACAACAACTGTTCAATCTATAAATAATATTTCATCATATTAAAACTGTTAGAGTTTATATTGATGTTGAAAAATGATGTATCTAGGTGAATGAACGTCAAGAAATATAGACCCATGCAAAAATAGATTCTTAATATTCGTGACAAAGTCATATTTATATCACTCAGATGCTATAAATAAAAAGAAAAGACAAAATAGATAAACTGATTTGCTTTTTATCACTATTATAGATTATTAGAATATATTTTTATATAAAATAAAAAATATATGATAATTAACAAAAGACATCGCCATTTTCATTACGTTTATAATGTATGTTAAATGAAGCAAAAACTATGTTATGCTAGCACGTATCATGCTTGATCAAGCAGTCAAATGCATTTGAGTAAAAATGAATTTTCTTTTATAATTATGTTTTTATGACGACGTATTACGGCGATGTATTTATTGTTCTGGTCTATTCTTTATGATAATCTTTAGTTGACATAACACATGTACGAAGAAGAAAAAATTTGTTGGCATGTTATTTTATTATATTAGGCAATCAGCACATCACATGCATATGAAGCTGAAAAAGCCTTACATCAATATAAGACAGATAACCGCCTCTGACTGTCAATTACCTCAAACAAAGCAAATAACTCATAAAAAAACTTTACTCGATGACTCTGGTTTATTCATGATTAATTGGTCTTGTAAGAATTATCATAAATCTGCATAACTCTATAAAGCGAGCGTCACTTAAAATAAATGTATATCACTGTCTTCTCTGATAAAACAACGCCTTTATAATTCTTTACATCTTTACATTTTTAAAATTATTATTTGAAATTTGATTCATTATACAATACATTATATATTTAAAAAAAAAGAATATTTCTTATAAGAAAAATAATCACATAAATAAATAATTGAAAAATATTTTGAAAATAATTTTTATTACTCGAATTTCCAAATAATGATTTCGGATGTATTTGTGAATAACTATAGGATATTGATTTAGCAAGACCAATTTGATTACGATTAACATTATAAATCGAATAAAAACGACTAAGAAAATAATCACCAAGAATCCATATTAAATTTCCACGATTATCACGTAAATTAACACCTTGAAAAACGGTATAACATATATAATTATCACTATCTTTTAAAATAAGTAAATATTGTAATACTGATAGTTTAAATGTCATATTACCAATTGAAAATTCTACATCAGGAAAATCAGATAATAAACGAGTATAACAATCAACTGTGTACTATTTTATTTTGAAGAAAAATAAAACAAAAATAATAACTTTTTATTTAAAAAAAATATGATATTATTATTAATCTTACTAATCCAATCTCATGATCATACGTTCCTCCAATAGCATAATTAAGTAATGCTATTTGATTTGATGGTCCAACAATTAATGTTGTACCAGTATCCAAAATAGCACGACAATTTGAACATATTGTTTTACCATTTGTTTGTACACTATGTTGCAGATAAATACAAATAAAATTCTTCTTTAGAATATTTTATTCACCTGTTCATCATAAATTCCCAATAGGCATGTATAATAACATCCACATAAGTAATTGAATCTAAATATTTAGTAGAATCTACTCCACCAAAGATAAGTTCACCACCTGGATAAACATTGGGATTTCTGAACAAAGACATGATTTTCATTAAATAATATTTTCAAATTATCAAATAAAAATCAAAACGTACGGATTGAAATAAAAAGAAAAAATTGGATCAGGTATAAGACCTTGTTGCCACATATTATAAAAAATAGGAATCTGTCCAGATGTACCAATTGATGGATAAGCAAGACCTAAAACACCATCAAATGTTGACGAACTAAAACCTGATATATTGTTTGCTTGAGCAAATGCTTGATTTAATATAGATAAATTTCCTATCTAAATGAAATTTCAATTATTATTTCTTTTTCAAGAATTAGTCATACATACTGTTACAGTATCATTAATAAAAATACCATTGACATACGAACCATCACCGTATGAAATCCTTAAGGTAGCTCCATTAGCTCGAGATGTATACGAACTATATGAATCGTATTTTGCTTTGTTTTCTAAAAAAATCATATTATCTTGAAATTTTTAAAAAAGACGTTTTTTTTTTTTGTTCAAAAATATTTACCACAAGTAGAAAGACATTGAATTGATGGTACCCATAAATCAGTAGAACCTGTATCAAAATTGATAATAAAAGTTTTTTCAGGTGTACCGATTGAAATTAAACCAATCCAATAAAACTAAAAAGGAAGAAAAGAAATAATTAACTTTATAATTTTAATCATATAATGTACATTTGCTTGGTTAAATAAGGATTCTCTTATTAGATTTGTCTTTCCTTTAAATCGTAGTGAACTTTTATAAATTGAATCTCTCATTTCGTGTTCTATGTGATCATTTTGTACTAGAGCATTTGTCATTCGATAACATGAGATTCTATAAAATGATCATTTTTTACGAACTAATTGAGTAAAAAGAATTACCGAGGTAATTCCGTTGATGATACAGCAGAAATTAAAAGCAAGAACAAAATAGTAGATAAATTCAACATTTTAAATGGCAAATACTAAATCTATAGGTGACAAAACTTAATATTATCATCAATTGGGACGACGAAAGGATGATACAGAACGGACAAAAATACTCTTCATTTTTTGTCTAATGTAAAATGAAAAACGAAAAGCATTCGATAATGGTCTTTTAAAAAAGCAAGTTTGCTCTTTTATTTGTCTATTATGATGCCAAAAAGTGCTTAGTGCATGTAGATCCAAAATGCAATACAAAAGCGCAAATCAAAGAACATATTTTACTGTCTACATATGACAAACAAACGATGATTTCATAGTTTGAATAAAAGTTTAAAGAAACAAGCATTGAGCATAGAATTCATGTAAAAAGTTTCATTGTTTATTCTCACTTGGAGTTATACGAATAAGTTTTGTGATATTAAAACTAAAATGATTATCTCTGAAGTAAATGAGTTTTATTTTGAGAGTCACATGAAAATGGAAATGAGAAACATTAATAAAGTTCTTTGTATATTCTATAGTTTTAGAAACCAAAAAGAAAAATTATATCAAAACAGAATCGAACATTGTTGTCAAATACAAACACAGAAAAATGTTTAAAAGTTAGCCAATTTAATTGATCGATACTTTCACTTACTTTTATTATTATTATAAGACAAAATGATTGGATTGTGGATGGAAATGGGAATGAAGAAAAGAGTAAGCATTCACCCAAATAGTTTGAATCGTTTGCATCTAAATGAAGAAAAATGCCCTTATCTACTGAGCGACGTCACGCAACATGATTCCATCGAAAGAAAATTGAAATAGAGAAATAATACTATAGCATATCAATAGAAGAATTTCACTAACATTATTTGACTGCTTGCTAGAGTCAATAAAAAAAACGGAAACTCAATGAATTTTTGTTGAGATTGTTTTTCAGTTTCTTTTAAAAAGATAATTGAATAGAACACGTTATTACTTTTCTTGTCATGGATTTTCTTTTTGAAGAAAAAGAAAATCAACAATTATCAAAGTGATCTTGGATAAAACTTTATGTTATCATTTTCAAATCCAGATCAATGTCAGTTACTTTTCATTGACGATCAAAAATGGGAATTTGTAGCTGAGGTCATCGGGTAGATGCTAAAAGATGAAGTTGATAAACCATAACCATTTTGACTGTCTTCTGATTGATGCAATCTTTTGTCGCATAGTCAACGTTTGTCAATTAGACATACTTGTCTGTTTCTCTTAATCATGATAGCAAAATGGCACAGATATTTCAATATCATTATAATATCCGTCTCGTCTATTCAATAGAAAGGACATGCTCTTTATTTATCAATAAGACGTATGTTTTTTTTTCTGGTATTCTGCTGTCCGATAAATAAAGAAAAGTCATTATGCTGGATGATTGATGATAGCCATCAAAATATTCTCTTTGAATTCATAATTAGTGTCCACTATACTAAGATTCAACTCAAGTAAAAACCATTCAGTCGGTCTACGAATTGTTCACTAACAGGATGTGTCTACTACGGAAGGTTTAACTGTACTGGTATTCTGATACTAGATTTGGGTGCATAATTAGACAAGACTAATACCCATATCTGTATACATTTACTAGTCTGTCAATCAACGTCATATTTGACTTTCTTTTTCTTTGTGTGCTTAACTTTTTTGTGCTGAAAGTTCTCTTACTTATCATTTGACTCTCAAAACAAAAGCAAACAACAAGTTATTAATGCGTACACAATAATTGATAATCGATCAAATAATCGGAAAAAGCACGTGATAAAAACCAAAAAAAATATTCAAAAATAAAGCAAATCTATAACTCAATGATTTATCTTCATCTTCATGACAAGTCAAATTTATTCATTATTAGTTTTGTTTAATTATTAGTTAAAAGATTATATAAAAATATTTGCGTTTAGTAATTTGATTTCTTAAGGCATACTAAATATTGTATAAGTCAACAATTGAATGTAGACAGTAAAATAATTTGCAGTAAAATGAAGTTTTCTTTTTCTCGTATTCTTCAATTTGAAATATTCAACAACAAATAGAATCATATTGTGACAAAGAAAAAAATTGAATATAATGTTTTCTGATTCAAAAAAAAAAAAGAAATAAGTTCGTCTATCTGACGAAAAACTTGTTCAATATTATTGTTCTCTTTTGAATTGATATACGTATAAAACATTGTGAAATATTGACATTAAGCATGATTAGATTATCCAATGCGTACGAAAAAAAATTGAAGGTTTTTTTAAGTCTTTTGTTCTGTAGTTATTCAACTGAGAGATACGGTCTATGATCAATGACAAAATTCTTATACGATATGATGTCGAGCTGAAGTGATATAAGCAAACATATGAGAGAATTATATAAGCACAACGTCTATTAGTTGAAAAGGCACTAATGTAAGTCACGTTAAGACTTATTCATAGAATAAAATAAGGCGTTTAATATCGAGTTTTTATTGTAAACACAATTAATCAGAAAATCTTTTATAAACAAAATGATGAAGAGATATATGATTGATGATATTGTCATTTACTCATGCTACAAATTCTCATTCTCTTTTATTTTATGAAATTATACAATCGAATATAGTAGTAAATAACACTAATCCACATTGTTGCTTAAAATACAATTTCAAATTGACTTCTTTCTATATAAACAAAAAACAAATAAATAAAAATTTTTGTTTCGTCTTACCTATTCAATAATATGTTCAAGAAAATTAGTTTAGAGATTTATTCAAAAAAGTTTGTTTTATTTCTTCAATTCAATGTAACTTAACAAAGCTGAACAGAACGTTTCTGTTCTTTTTATTTTTAGCAATACTTTTTATAGATAAGATGATACTTGACTAACAGGCAAACTTCAACATTTTCAACGTTTAAAATAAATATCAAGGATAACATCAATAAATTGTTTACGAGATCGTTTAGATATATAAAACTAATAATAAAATGAATTCTACAAATAAACTAAGTTTACAGTCAAACTTTTCTCTGTAGGCACTTTGTTTCAATGCCATTCACTGTGGAGAATCACTTGAAAGAGGATGCTCCTCTTATTTCACAGCATTGTCTCGAAAATTCAAAAATTTAGAACACAGAAATCTTTGAAAAATTAGTGCACTACAAAATCTTTTCTTTTTATGTCGAAAGTTAAGATTACCTAGATTTTTATTGTTCAAAATTTCCAGGCATCCATTTTTCGTTTGGATAGAGCTATGGTTGCTAATTATGCACTGAATAGACTAGTATTTTACATGAGCAACTATGCGAGCGATGAGTTTAGAGTTTCAAAAACAGACAAGTAGTCAAATGTATGTCGGTGCTAGGTCGGCCATTTGCAGTTACTCTGAAAAGTAACTGTATCATCTATATTCTCAAAAATGAATCGCCTATATCAATGGAAAGAGTGTAAGATTCTAAGCATAAACTGATAGTTCAAAACAAATTACATAAATTCTTTGAAAAATGTGACAGACAGTCATTTTCAGAGAAACAATAAATAGCCATCCCTAGTGGATGAATCCAACACTAATGTGCGACACACTCTCGAATAGAAGGTAGATCAGAAAACAAGAAAAAGAAATTGAAAAAATGTTCATTCATGTACTCATTAAGTGACCAAAATTCACAATTTTTCTTTAGCAAGAATTCACTGATGCCTATCTTAACTGAAAGGTATGCGACAGAAGTTTAATCACTGACTCTGCCAAAAAAAAGTATCACGGCAACTGAAAGCTTAATAGATTATTCTCAATGCAGTTTTATATAACATGACTTTATTACGTGATTAGATTAAATTTCAACAAAAGCTTTCTTTAGCACCATATTGCTTATTAATTCAATATTGATTCTTTGTCTTTTTTTCTTTTTGGAATTAAGTTCAAACGACTACAAGAAACATTAGTAAAAGATGCTTATAGAGCTATGAAATAATTGTTTGATAACTTGTGCACTCATACCAACATTAATCATCATATTTTTGTGAAATAGTTCTGAATATAAAATGACTGTTCGTGATCTCCAGAGGTTCACATTCTTGACAAGATAATATACTATATTAAACTTGTTATTTGCATAGTAACTCGCTTTATGAGCTCCGAACAAAGCATGATATTGACAGGTTGTTTTTAATGTGACGGAAGAAAAATTTGGGATTATTTTCTTAAGGTCCTCCCGTTCTCAAAAACCGACCTCAACCGAGGTACGTTCAAATGGAATGAAATTTTCAGAATATGTTGGGGCTATGGTGAAGAGACTATAGTAAAATTTTCAGCCCGATATCGTAACGTTTGACAGAGATATGAACCAAACAATGGTCAAACATAGCTCATTTGGCAACCCATTTTTCTTCGTTCAGGCTCATCCTATATACTTAATTTTTTTTTGTTTGAAAGAGCGTGAAAAGATGCAGAGACTGATAGAGCTCTTTTTTTTTAAATTCTTACTTTTTAAGTGGAGAAAAGGGATGACAAGTTCAATGACTTCAAAAACTCTCTAAAAATGGGCGCCAATTTACATAAATGTTTGTATATATAATAACGAAAAAGGCTAATTTAAAAAAGGGAGTCTATCAGGCTCTGCATCTTTTCACGCTCTTTCAAACAAAAAAAAATTGAATACATTGAATGAGCATGGACAGAGAAATTTGGATTGCACGATCAAAAAAGTATAAACTGAAAACAAAGCGAAAACCATTTTTGGATATTTTAAAAAACAGCTGGTTTTTCGAATAGGGGGACGGCAGAAATCTTCAAAACTTTCTTTGAAAGAAGTGGGTATCGAGTAAAAATTTGTATGGTTTCTGAAAGACCAGATGACAGGCTATCTCCCTATACATTTATCTCAATTTCGAAATTTCTGACGAAAATTGACATTTTTTGAGTGGAGGGGGGTCTTAACACTTTTGTTTCAAGTGTGACTCACTTGAATGTTGTACGTTTAAAAGTATACAATTAGCTCGATACCAAGCATTGTTTTCTATAATGTTTGTTTGTCCAAAAACCTTATAAATTAGTTTGCATAACAGAAAAAAGACTTCTTTAATTATATTGACCGTATTTTTTTGTCAAGCTACATAGTTTTTATTTAACGAAATTTATGACGTATACATTCAAATAACACAAAAGAAATACATTGCGGTCATGGTTAAAAGGAAACATGCATGGAAAAGTCTAATTTTCAAGAGATCTTTCAAAATAAAAAAAATATACGATTGAATTTAATATGTCTACTAATAATTCCTTTAGATTTTCACAGATTGTTCGGTTTCTTCAAGCAGGTTATATAAGTCATCATATTTTATTCATCGGAAACATCGAACTATGACAATAGAGTCTCTTTATTTTTTGAAATTCTTTCACTTAATGACGAATCAGTGTTCTTCTCTTTTAGGTGACACTTGATTCATTGCATTTTCTTGATGTTTCCGTTGCTTTTGATAAATGCCAGTCAGAACATATAATAGTTGTTGTCGAAATCGTTTTGATACACATGCATAAATATAAAATGAACTCTAAAACAAGTTCAAAAATCATCATTCAAAGTCTTAACTTCTCATACTTACTGCAAAATATAAATAATAAATTATAATACTAATATGTTGACCAAAACCCAAATCAGACATATTCATTGACATACTATTGGGATCCAGAGTATCAACCAGAAACAGACATATGATGTATGGTAAAATAGTAAAACAATTAAAGACGACTTGAACAAGAACCATTGATGTTAATTGTTTATCTAATTCACGTCGGACCAATGGAACTGTTCGATAAGGTATTTGTCTTACATTCCAATATGCCAAAAATCCAAATAAAACTGTAATACAAATTGGTAAAATACCAGTTAGTATGATTAAATAACCATATGCAATGTACAGATCAAAAACTGGGTTTGTTATTGTACAAATTAATCTTCCTGTAGTAGGTAATAAACTCAAATCATACCAAATCAATGTTGGAATACCGTGAAGAAGCCAAATAATAAAGAATAATATGCACAGAACATAAGCTTTTTTTATATTAAAAAATTGTTGCCAGTGAACATGAAGTGAAGTTGCCAAGAATTGATCAATTGTTGCCAAACACATACATGTATATGATGTTAATGCACATACTTGAAGAAAATAGTTTCTAAACTTACAATAAGCCAACGAATAGTCCGTCCAATCAGCATCAAATCCAGTAATCATAATACGACTAAGTAAACTGAATAGTAATTGACCAATATTAACAAATGACATGATTGTTAAAAAGAAAGCACATGAACTTTGTCGAAATGTTTTAAGACTCATAAAAACGATAATATTGAGAGTTCCACCAAGAACTCCAGTACCAAGAATAGGTATGCCAAGATAGATAGTGATTTCTTCGGAAGCAGAATTTCGTGTGAAATTTACTGATGTAGACATTTTTCTTGTTTGAATTCTATCGGTAAAGTACTGACAGTCGTTGTCAAACTAAGAGTTTTCTTTGAATGTCTCTTTTTATATACAATTTCTATCATTCTGTCACTACATTCTCTACTTCAAGATTCATGCTTAACATTATTTTCGATATATGCAACTACAAGAAGCTAAAGTTTATTATTGTTTACATGCTGCATATGACAAGAAAATTACTTTGAAATTAAAAAGAAGAAAAAGATATATCTGGTCATGTCATATGACATGTACTACTAGCTACATTAATTTTGTTTCACTATTTTTTCTTCATAGAAAAATTCATTGAGTTAATGAAATAATTAAGTTTATAATTGAGTATCATCATAGGAAAACAGCATCTCATGAAGTCTGTTGAAGTTCTGTGAAGTCTTATGAAACCTCAAAAAGTTCTAAGAAATCTCATGTTTCTTTCTCATGTATTATTTGTAACATCTTGTTGTTGAAGAAGATGATGTTCATCGTTGTCTTTCATGATTATTGTCGATCGAAGAATTATGACCACTAATACAATTATGTAGTAGAATGAAAAATATCAGATGGATAACTCGTCAAATCTTGTAAAAATTTTGATCATTCGAAAGCATTTTGAAATAAATAACAATAAGCAGCATTTGTAATGTGTATCGTTTATTGTATCGGACTTTGAACGCATTGAAGAGAATATTTTATTTTGGAATAGAAGATAGTATTATTTTAAGCAAAAATTTATTCGAAATATTATTCAAGATCAAAAACAAACAAAATAACGAAGCACACGGATTGAATTTCTTTTTTGACGCTGATTTTCGTCGATTAGAAAGTTTATTCACGTTTGACAAATTTGTTAGAGATGATAATTCAGTACATTCACTTGAATGCGTTATATAAATATCAAGAAAAAAATATATATTGTTTTCATATCCTAATACAATTTTTATAAGCTTGAAATGATTTATCTTTTGTTCTCTGCATGAAAAAACGAACTTGTTTCTCTTCTATATAACTTTATAATATTATATACACATATTTCTTTTCTTGTAAACGCAATAACATAAAAGAAATAGATTCATAAAAAGTAACTTAAATGTTGTGACAATATACGTTAGATATGTGATAAGACTTAATTGCTGATTGTTCTTTTTAAAATGAAATAAACATTGTTGATTTTTCAACGAAAAATCATTCTGAAATAACTGATACTTCCTATGAATATTTATGATTAAGTGCAATCGTTATTCTAAAGCATAATAAACATTTGTTAAATTTTATTGACATATTAAATAGAAAACATAAGAAATAAGATACAATATGATTCAAATTACCATGAGTTAATAATTTATCTAAATAAACTCTTTTTCAAAGTTATTCATCATATTCGTCTTCAGCCCTACCATACATAAAGAATAGTATTTTATTCAATATAATCTTAGTGAAAGTTCATTTATAACATCGAATCATGATCCAATTTTTATTTATACGGAAATATAAAAATAAATTTTGTCATGTTTAATAAATAGGTTTCAATAAACCTAAAAATTTCTCTTATAAAGTCAATTTTAATATAGTGAAAAACCTACTCTTACTCGTCAAATAATGTCAAACAAAAAATATATTTTGTATCGCACCTAGAATGGCAATAAATATTTTAAAGATGACAAATAGAACTAGATGATCTCTAACAAAATGCTCTTTTCAATAAAAGTACTATGCTCATTTTGTGAATCATAGTATTAAAATTGTAAAGACATGCAAAAATGACTTTTGTGTTCTTTCAACTTCGTGTTATACGTGTCAAAAGAATAAAGAGTTATTAGAAACATGTACGTATTGATTTTTTAATATTCTCTTTTCAACATCGTGTCTTTCAAAATATTACTATACTAACAACTCAATCTTTTGATTTCATTTTTCAAAAATTATAATGAAATTAAGATGAAACTTTTCTTTCACAACTGACTATTTTATCTGGTACTATCTAAATGAGAATTCTATAAAACAGTCTTAATTTCTAGTCTAAACTTTTTCGTCATCATTGGACTAATACAACAACGAAAATCACATTTTCATTACTGAATTTTATAGTGACACATGCTCTCACATTATTCCATATAAACTAGGATGTTTATTACGTGATCGACAATTATACAAATCATGGGTTACACGGATTCTGACCGGAACCAAAAATTTCAGTGACTTTTCGATCCAAGTCGAATTTTCTATAAAATCCTACTATATATTTTATCATCAGACGTAAAGGGTTAGGCTAAGGACAAGTACCTCATTGATGATGAGGACTAAGCCGTCTCAACTATAACTCTCTTTAGAACAGTTTAAAACCCTTATCAACTGAGTTCAGATGATGGCATTAAATTAACATTATATCGATCAGGTACTTCAACAGAACACATCTAAAAGATATATAAATGATGGAAAATAATTTAACAAAAATGAAATATGAATTAATTATGTCCTTAAACAAACTGTATAACAAGCATCATTAATATAATTTACTTGCAGATTACAACGAAGTGCTTCCCTTGAATCTGAAATTCTATTTACAAGGATATACACGATGTGTATGACTATGAGCAAGAGATAGATTAGTAAAATATCCGATATTTGCATATAGATCCACAATTGTTTCATTAACACATGACATTCATCCCGTGTTCATTCACTCCGTATTATTTCCAACATAAAACATACTTCTATCAAGTTGTACGAAAATCTAAGATTAAATAATTTCTCCGGTATATAAATAAAATTGAAAAATCAACTGATTTACTCTATGCGATTTTCGACTAAATCAATCTCTGAATCATTTTCTAATACTAATAATGGTTTTTGTGATTGAAAATCATCAATTTTTAAAAAGCACTTTCAGAATTAATACATTTAGTTGATGAACCAAATGATCTAACAACATTTATTTCAAATTTATTCGATACTAAAAATGCAGGCTCAACTAAAAAAAGAAGAAATCGATATAGAAAATCTAAGAATTATAATTTGACCATTGAGAATCAACAAAACAACGATATAATCGAAGAAGCATATCTCTATATATACGCCATTTTCGTGAAATATCATTTGATAATAGATCGTCGTATGTTTGATCATCCTCATTATAGAGAGATTGAAGATTTTCGATAATTTGTTTCATTCAAGATTACGACATTATTTATAGCAAAAGAAAAAGATCTTTTTTCTTTTGATTGAATTCTAAATAGATTAATTATCACTTTTATAAAAAAAACACTGTGTCTCTTTGTCTAATATCTATTTATTTTTGTCCTAATAATAGTCTACATAAAAAGATAAAAAGAAAAATGTCTTTTGTTTAAGAATGTGGATGTGTAAATTTTCCTACGCAACTTTCACTATGCATAACATTCGAGATCTCGCATATAAACTAGTTGCGTGGTGCATCAAAACTTGTGAGACATTCTGTTTTGTGAATCATAATATTAAAATTGTGAAGACACGAAAAAAATGACTTTTTTTTGTCCTTTCAACTTTATGTTAGAAGTGTCGAAAGAATGAAGAAAAGATCACATATACATGTAAGTAACAATTTTTATATATATTCTCTTTTCAACACCACATCTTTCGAAGCAATATAATGCACGCAACTCGATCTTTTGACTCCGCCTTTCGAAAAGTGTAATCAAATCAAGATGAAACTTTTCACTGACAGGTGAATATTTCATCTCGTACTATCTACATGAGAACGTTATGAAAAATCTTTATTCTTGAAGTAAACATTTTCTTTATCATCAAATCAAAAGATAACACAAAACCATAGTGTTATTGTTGAATTTTATATTGACATATACAAAAATAGTAACTCTCTCATCATATTATCTAATTGGAAATGTTTGTTACATAATCGATTATTTATATAAAACATAATAAATCTTTTACTTATATTTGTAAATAACACAACGACTAATTGAGATCTGATAAGATTCAAGAAAACTAAAGAAGTATTATATTACACAATAAAATAATATATGACATCACTACTATATCAAAGATCTTATTAATATACAATATTCATCCTTGAATTTGATCTTTTACTCACAAAATTGAATGATTCATTTTTATGATAGATGTTTTGTTTGCTTATTTTATATCTTACATTTTCTTCGTATTCCTTCATATATAAATTGTTTGAAGTGTTAGGTTAGTAGAAATAGCTCTTGATTCGTTGTTGCTCATTATATTACATATCCAAAAAAATTTTAAATGTATACGTCTACGACTCATGCTTGTTTAGCACTTGTACATAAATTCGAAGCTAATATATGTTCATTTCTTAATTCATCTGAAACAGAATCATCTACACATTCACTTGTTCGAGACGATAATAAAATAAAAAACGAAAAAAGAAGAGAAGAATCGCAAAACAATGAAATGATTGTGTCTTCTGACATTTCAACATCAAGTAAAGAACAAATAGAAACAAAAATGGGCAATAAAGTATTAAAAGTAAAAAGTAAAAAAACAAATTTTAAGGAACTTACAGATAATCAAATTGACATGCTTGTTGCATCAACAAATTTTTCAGCTGAACAAATTCGTGAATGGCATGAAAGTTAGTTGTTTTTCTCTTTTTTTATTTGTTTTCATTCTAAATTTTATTTTAATATTTTTTTTTTCTTTTCATATAGGTTTTATACGCGATTATCCATCAGGTTTATTGAATTATTTTCAATAATAGATCATTTGTACTAATTTTTTTTTTAATAGGTAAACTTGATCAAAAACAATTCATTGAAGTTTATCGAAAATTTTATCCACAAGGCAAAGTATGAAATCGATTTAAAAAAATTTCTTTTTTAATTTTTTTTGTATACATATTAGGCAAGCAATTTTTGTTCGTTAGCATTCAAAGCATTTGATCGAAATAAAAATGGTTTGAAAAATTTTATTTCTAAAATTACAATTAAATAGTTATTTTTATTAGGTTTTCTCGATTTTAATGA